GGGTATTGTCCTTCTGGATCATTATGACTGTAACCAAAATAACTTCAGTATTATTTAGTACTGATCTATGTGGGCATCCTAGATCTTTAGACTTCTCTATACCGAGACTAGACGAACTCCAAAACGTTTGTAAGAACAGTATCTTCCTATGTACCACAGTAGATATAAAATCCGTTAGAAATCACATCATTAGATACAATTATCTCAGTTCATTCAATTTTGTTGACTAAATAATGAACAGCAATATGAATGGTAGAAAACGTTTCTCAATGTATGTTATTTTCACTCTGACTAATGATTGATTGACAGAAAATCTATACATCATTTATGTGACTATGTTGAAAGCAACAGTTTTGATATTTGTATCACAAAAAATTATGTTAAAGAACTTTATCTTCGATGCACTCTCAATCTATGTGGTTTCAGCAGGTATGTAGTGAACGAGAACACAGGTGGAGCAACCGAATTGTATTTAACGAAAATTACAGAGTTACTCAGTAAAATCGGAAAACCATATCGTAAATCGTTAATTTGCAAAAGATCAGTCTATCATATCGAACTGGACTGTTCCTGTTGCAAAACATCAATCCATTGTCACTATTCATGCGTTTTATACAAATTCCATTGTGTTCTAACCCTTCCTTTCTTGATCTTCCCCCATCTTCTGCTGCCAGACATTACGTTGACACTCACGTCATATGCTACTTATAAGTAGCTCACACCACAGGTTCTCTATTGGTTTATCGTTTCATAGCTGATCTAGAAAACAAGATACTTCAAACAATCACTGAGAAGTTTTGTTACGCATGCACGTAAACACGTTATTTTGATATGCTTCAACTATGACGAGTTTACCTTGGTCGGAAAACGAGAGCGAGGATCGAGGATCCGTCGACACAACATGTTACTCTAATCTGAGTGTCCCAAACCCCTGTTGAGTAAAAGAAGAAGACTTGATATGAAGTAGAACATGTATTCTACAAGCATCTAGAAAGTACGAGATCCGAGTCCAGAAGAGGTTGAGGATCCCGGACTAAGAATCCGGGTCATAAAATGTTACAGAGAATGCGTATTTATAGTGTTAGGTAGAATAAGAAACAACATATGAAGTATGTGACATTGATAGTTCGGACGACCAATAGGAATTGGCCAATAGAATCAGACTTACAAACAGTAATCTTAGGATATTGGATGGACATCCTGACAAGTTTCATCTATAAAAGAGAAGAAACCAAATAGTGTCAGAAACAGACCACCAATCAACTGCCCAATGGGATGGTGAATAGCGAAGCAAAGTGGAGGACATATGGTACAACACAACCAAAAAATCCAGCCCAGAGAACGAAACACTACCACAAAGGTTTGTTTAAAGAAAGCCGACCTGTACTGGTCAATGTAAAAATTTTCATAGCTGGTTCCCTTGGAGTAGAAAGCGAAACTTAATCGATTATTTATCTTTTAAGATTAGGTGAACGCATACATTGAACTAATTTTACTTCGATAGATATTTGTCAAGAATGGCTATCCGCCGAGATTTATCGATGGGAACTCGACGCCAAGAATAGGTCCTGAGAAAAGCACCGACATTTCAAGCGAGACGGCTACTAAAATATTGAATAAACAGATCACCAAAAGCCTAGATAAAATCTGTTTATCCAAACTACGTTCTGTCTTTTCAAGTAGGTCTACCATTCACGAATATGTTAGGAATCAACTTTCCTTTTGGGCCACATCGATGCGTATTTGTAAATCTACTTGCCCCTGTGCAGTAGATTACATTAGCTGTATAAAGTAACTACTTTCCAGGCGTATCTCAGAACATTACACGGCGTAACTTTAAGAAGGGGGAATGCAAAGCTATCACTAGTTCAACACAAAACCATTTGAGACATTGTTCAAAAGGATTTGTCCTTTGAAGTAGTAAACACTGTCAAAACAATTAGACAAAATGGAGTTCGGATCAAAATCTAATTCACTACTGAGGCGCTGACAATCCATCGATTTGAAGCTTACACCCCGCATGTGAAACAATACATCCAACCACAATCATCCTTCCTTGACCCTAATTCTCTGCTCGTTTTGTTATGATTACAATTAACATTTTTAAAACGTGATCATTTATTATTATTATTCTGTGTTGCAAAACATTTCCAACCATCCGATCACACGTATACTAGTTTAAAAACATTTTATCAGTTATCATCAAAACATACTACACACAAAAGGTCATTATCATGGAAAACAGTCCATATTTCATCAAAAACCTGAAAGGTATACAAACGATTAAATCACTCCTTGTGTTTATCAATTTAAATCTGTGTTTAGCTGGGTAGGAGTAATTGTGATTGGCTAATTACGATATCTGAACAAGTACTTGGCCGTAAAATACAAAATCCCATGACCTAATACAAATCGATGATAAACAGACATTGTTCCCTGTTACCAAACACGTAGTTGAAACAGGTCAAAAGATTAATCTTAACTCGGCTTTAGTCGTGTTCGATAAAAGTGTTCAGCGAATTATACTAAGATTTATTGAAACCTTGATTAAGCGAAAGTTCAAACCTCTTTTCTGTATTCAAAAGTAGTTTGTTCTCAATCTAAACCTACCTTGATAATATTAAGTAATTACCGAAGATGGTGAGTTTTAGGTCAGACTGTTCGAAATGTGATGCGCTAACATATATATATATATCTTTAATTTTACAGTATAAAATTGTTGTGGCTGCTGCATAAAAAAGTCCTGAAGTTAGGCGTTCGCTTGGGTTTGAATCCTGCGAGGTGGAACTCCAAACAACTTTCAACCAAAACCAAAATCAGGATTTTCAATATAAATGTCAACACAGTTCTACTGTATGGAGCGGAAACTTGGACAACTACCAAAGCCATCATTCAGAAGATACAAGTATTTATTAATAGTTTTCTACGCAAAATACTTCAGATTCATTGGCCAGACACCATCAGCAACAACTTACAGTGGGAGAGAACAAACCAGATTCCACTGGAGGAGGAAATCAGGAAGAAGCGGTGGAAGTGGATAGGACACACACTGCGAAAAGCACCGAACTGCGTCACAATACAAGCCCTCACATGGAACCCTCAATGCAAAAGGGAAAGAGGAAGGTCAATGAATACATTACGCCGAGAAATAGAGATGATGAGTTCCATACCAGGACGAAACGGCCGTCCAGTGTTTCCAGGTTTGTAATGCTGGTCTAAAAATGATTGATTGGTAATTTCAGTATGCATGAAACAAGTTCAATGTCTTATCATCCATGCATGAAACTGAAACGATATAAATTCACTATAGTCATCATAGACTCTTGTATAGTCACGTGAACGCCTAGTTGAATTTGATAACAATTATTATTATTATGAATTTTCAAGATAAAAAAGGTACTTGATAAGAATGTCAGAATTCAAATCAAATATAATTTTTATACTACAATGAAGCACTACAGTGGATGATAGTATGCGATCAGTCAGTCAGTCAGATGCAACATAGAACTTCGTACGTAAGTACATCAGTTCATGTTGCCATACCTTATCAGCACAGAGGTATAATTGTCAATTCAAATCCAATGGTAGTAGAGGTAGTAAAGGTATTAGAAGTAATCGGAGAGGTTAGGATTAGAAGATATTATTCGCGAAGTATGATTCAATAAGAAAAGTTTAGGAAGTCAAAAGTAGAGGGGTTGAAGAAAACAGAAGATTAGGATTTGAGAGAACACAAAGAATAAATGCACTGGCGTCATTGCAAACGGTTTTGAGCCATGTCATTCAGGCTATCTAACCATTGGTGACTTTCGTCTCGCGGACCCCAACCAAGTAGTCTACATCTCCCAACATGAATCAGTACACTTGTCAATGACTTCATGGATTTCTGCCATGTTTTGGTTTGGCCGCCCCTAACTTTCTTCCAACCTATTCCTACACTACAAAACAAAGCCCGTCGAGGCGGTCGGTGGTTAGAGCCACGGAGCACATGTTCCAACCACCTCAACTGATGAAGTTTTATTACTTCATTTATTGATCTGCCAATCTTACCTAGCACCCGTTTCCTAATAACAGCGTTGCTCACTCGGGTGTCTCAGGATATACGAACAATGCTTCGAAGACACCTATGATCGAAAACCAGCACACGAGAACAAATTGGTCGAGATCAAATAGTATGTGATCATTAAATTACAAATGTCTCGACTACTATATTCCATGACGTAAGTTTACAATATTCACGAATCATATCTTGAGATCAATGTGGTACAGAGTACATTTTCAAATTGTCCAATGAGTAGTTGAAAAACCTTAACTATAGTGCACATTATCAGTTATCCAGAGTTTGGGCTTTCGTCAGAACGAGACCAGAGGTCCTGGGTTCAATTCCTGCGAATAGCAGGAGTTGTGGATGTGCGCACTGTTGATAAGTACCCCCCAAACGAGGACAACACCGCCATCCAGTGCTTTTAGATTTCTAATGGTAGTCTAACAATGATCGATTCATGATCTCTCAAAAATAAAACTTTTAATATTTCATTTCGAAATACACTTGAATTTTATGTGCTCTACAGTGGCGGTGTGAAGGTCACCTTTAAATATGTCAAAATTTTCTTTTTTTAAAATTCATACACAATCAAACAATAAGAGAATTAAAACAAAACTAATAAATATTTACATAAACCTATAAATGCTTTTATATATATTTTTTAAACAAAAATAATCATCATCGAATCAATCAATCATTCAGAAAAAACTATTCAATTGTGCTTTTTGTTTTCTTTTTTCCGCAATAATTCAATCGTCAATTATTAGTTGTTGTTTGTGCGATAACTCATCATTCAATCGTTCATTTATTCATTATGATAGGTAGCATTGTTCATCAGTGAATATAAACAACACCGTAGATGTTGTTGTTCAATGTATTATATATTATTCAATGAAATGCAAAGTTTGATTTTTTTTGTTCAACACACAGTTTGTTTCAGAAAATTTTCAATTATTAGTCAAGTTCTATTCATGCTTGTCCCGTTTTTATTGACTAATGAAAAAAAACAAACAAACAAATCAAGCGGTTTTTTTGAAAGGAAAATAAGCAATAATTGTGAGTTGGTAAATAGATTTGTTAGTATAGTTTTTAGTCTATAATTAAAAAAAACTAGCATAAAGTTATTGAGATGGTAGAGAAAATTATTTAGCTCAAGTGGATGAATGTGATGAAGTTTTGTTCTCTGAGATGAGGATGTCTGGGTAGGTTGTGAAGCTTTTATCGCTGTTCCTCTTCTGAACGACATAATCAGCACATGCTTCTACATATGACTCGAAGTAAGGTTCTGTTGACCCGGTGTGTCTTTCCTTTTCGCTGAATCTACCTACTTGAGCGTTAAAGTCACTATCCATTATTACTATATCAGAGTGCTTAACATTTTGAAGAGGTTTCTGTAAAACGCATCTTTTATGTCGTCTGAAATGCAATCCCTGCATCTTGATTGGTTGTGATTGACTTTAAATCTGTCGCTATTTTCACTTTCCTTTTGAATGTATCCCCCTTTTTGATCTGTTTCTTGATCTTATGCTTGTCTGAGATTTTTGTTTTGATTGGTTGATATATTGGATCACTGTCGATGTGTTTGTTGATTGATGATTGACTTGAGTGTCCGTCCAGCTTCTAAAAATTCTCTAGTGTTCTTTGTACTCTCTCTCTCTATCCAGTATTTCAATAATGTTTCTGGGGTTGGCACTCAAGTCAAACAACAATCAACAAACTCATCGACATTAAGGCAATTTGTTGACCAAACAAAAAAATTATAGGCAAGCATAGAATCAAGGAACGGATCAAAAAGGGGGATACAACCAAACTAAAGGTGCAAACAGCAACAGGTTTAAGGTCAATCACGTCCAATCAAGATGCACGTCAACAGAACAAGCTGATACGATGTTACGCCTGCACGTAAGCACGTCAACTTGATATACTTGAACTTTTACGAATATACTTTAGTGGGGATATGAGAGAGGGGATCGAGGATCCGGTGACACGACATGCTACTCAAATCCGATTATCCCGAGCTCCATATTGAGTAAAACTAAAAAGACTTGATATGAAGTAGAACCTGTATTCTACAAGCATCCAGAAAGTACGAGGTCCGAATGCAGAAGAGAATTTAGATCCCGGTCTAAGGATCCGAGACCGGCTCCTGGTCATAAAACGTTACAGATAGTGCGTATATATACATTTTGGTCGAATAGGAAACAGTATCGAAGTCTGTGACATTGACAGTTAAGACGACCAATAGGAAGCAACATTTGAAGTGACAATGATAGTCAGGACAACCAATAAGAAACAACATTGGAGCACATGACATTGATATCGAGGACGACCATAAAATTGACCAGTAGGAATTAACCAATAGGAATAGACCCATAATTCCGTTAGTATATTGGATGAATATCCTAACATACGAGTTATACTACGTAGTAAAATTCGAATGCTTCACTTCTGCTGTCCAAAGTTTGTGCCGATGATGTTTTTTCAGAAAAAGAACAATGATGAATGCTCCACAACCAAAATATCCAAAACTCAGAGAACGAAACTCTATCGCACACTAAGTCATTCTCATACACGAATATAGAGTATGTAGACAATTTGTGTTGATTCAAGTCCTCTTGTTAATATTACCTTTAAACAAAGTATAGTTTTCATTCAAACACTATACAACAATTAAGTCGATCGATCGGTAGTAAGAACTAGAAGCAATTTTATTATCGTTATCATTGAAATAAGGAAACCCATTTTCAAATATTTTTTATTTCTATAGAATTGTATTCGATCGCCGAATAACGACATGTTTAATTATGATACTGATTGGCAATTGTAAGGATTTTACAATAAGTACAAATTGTACACCGAATGAATGATCATGCAACATTGTTTAAGACCATTCTTCCAATTGTCCTAAGTCATCTAACACACATCGTTTAATATTTGTCAATTCTCAGGAAAATTGTTTCAACTATGATATCCATCTGTTAATTTTGGTCAGTGAGCAGAAGTTTATAGACTGTGATGATAAGAATTCGTGATATCCTTGCTTGCCTATCTTCTACGCAAACATCCTACAGTCCAAGAGAATAAGTAAACGAAGAGATTGGAAAAAAATCTCGTAGTGACCACCAAGGAGTAAGTAATTCGGAATTAATCGCTGAAAACAAGTGACCATTCGTATCTGTTGCATAGATAGATCCATCAAAGTAGTGGTAATCTGTAGCCGTTCAAGTTTCTGAATGATGCATGTATGGTCTAGCTAACATCAGTTATGTTATGCTTGCTACCAGTTCATAAACTTGAAACTATTGCGAGTTCACCTTAGTCAAATGATCAAGTGACACGATAGGTTACTCTACTCCAAGCATCCCAAGGCATCACTAAGTAGATGAATAAGTCTTGATATGGCGTAGAAAGTGTGTTCTACAAGCACTCACAAAATATGAGGTTAACAAGCACACAAATCGAGTTTATTTATACATGATGGAAATGTCCTTGAGAGAGCCACAAATATAGCTTACTAAAATAATGTATACATCAACCAATAATAGCCAAGGATTTTCTGGGTGGGAAATGTCATCATCTCAAGGTCAAGTGATCAGCCCATGCGCGAAAACATGAAAAAAATCCAAAATTAGGACCTTTATGAAGTCAAGTGAGTTCCGGGGATCTAACGTCTCCAACAAGTTATAATGGTGTAGTTGCACTCGCTAAAATTCTTTTCCAAACGGATCTTCTAACACACCACTCGAGAAAATATAAACCAAGAATTTAGAAGATTAGAATTTGAGTGCAGAAAAGGAATCGAGACGCTTACAGCCTTAGCAGTAGTACGTCTCAATATACATAAAGGGAAAAGTAAGATTCTACGATACAACACAACATGCACCAACCAAATCACTCTTGATGGAGATGCCTTGGAGGACGTCAACACCTTTACATATCTGGGCAGCATCATCGACAACCAAGTTGGATCCAATACAGATGTGAGGGAGCGGATTGGCAAAGCAAGGGCTGCATTTTCACAGTTGAAAAATATCTGCAACTCCACACAAATATCAATCAACACCAAAATCAGGATTTTCAATACAAATGTCAACACAGTCGTACTGTATGGAGCGGAAACTTGGAGAACTACGAAAGCCATCATCCAGAAGATACAAGTGTTTATGAACAATTGTCTTCGCAAAATACTTCGGATTCGTTGGCCAGACAACATCAGCAACAACGAACTGTGGGAGAGAACAAACCAGATTCCAGTGGAGGAGGAGGAAATCAGGAAGAAACGGTGGAAGTGGATAGGACACACACACTGCGAAAAACACTGAACTACGTCACAAGGCAAAAGGAAAAGAGAAAGGTCAAGGAACACTTTACACCGAGAAATAGAGAAAGATATGAGAAGAATGAATAAAAACTGGAAAGAACTAGAAAGGGAAGCCTAGGACAGAGTAGGCTAGAGAAAACTGGTCGGCGACCAATACTGTAAGTAATTATCATGAAATCAATGAATGCATTACTTACTTCGTTGTCTATTATTTACATGATCAGTATAATGTGACACCATTTCATTTGTATTAGTAGTAGTATGTATTAGTAGTCTATTACTATTCATTGTCGACTTATCATCATATCGATTATGTGTACTACTTGATACAGTGGAATCAGGTGATTGTCTTGCACTAATCAAACTATTTGCATCTTCGTCATTCATATTATTATACATATTTTTATGATTGTTGATGGTGAAGCTTTTATTTCCCGGCGGTGGTGTAGTATCAGGTGTACGTGGAATTTTCGGTCGACTTTGAAATATACCTTGTTCTTCTTGTCGACTAATAAGAATTTGTTTTTTATTTTGGCCATTGGATTTTTCTGTTGAAGATTCTTTCAATGAATCATGATTATTATTATTATCATTATTATTACTATTATTATTAAGATTATTATTATTGTTATGATGGTTGTTAGATGATGTAAGCTTTTCATCGGATTCGGTAGCTCTTGGTGTAATTTCTACAAATGTACAATATGAAGAAAAAGAGGTTTATTCAAGTGATGATGAAATGGTTAATTAAAATTAAAAATTAGATTAATGCTAGACTATCATTGGAGGAAATTTGGTGGGACTAGACGGTTGTTTCATCCTAGTGTGGTGCGCGCTACTTATAAGTAGTATATGACGTGAGTGTGAAAACGTAATGTCTGGCAGCAGAAGAGGGAAGATCAACAAGAAAGGAAGAGTGGGGGGAACACAATGGAATTTTTATGAAATGCATGAATAGTGAGTGAAATTTCAGACAATGGATTGAAGATTTGCAAATTACGCGTTTACGATATGGTTTTCCTATTTTACTGAGTAACTCTGTAATTTTCGATAAATACAATTCGGTTGCTCTCACCTGTGTTCTCCTTCACTACAGTAGTACTGGGCTCGTTAATGACAGTGAGTATCCACAACCCAAGACTGTCCTAGTTTGTTGCGCTTATTGCATGATTATCACCCATTATTGTGAGTGGTACTTAACGGCCTTCTACGCAACACAACTGAGCGTCGCTGGTTTTGGTTTCAAATTAAGCATTCTGATAATTCGCTCACGAAGCTAGACACTAGTAAGCAGATGATAATTATGTTTTTAAATGCTATAGAGACTGTTGGATTTCATTAGAATCATGAACAGATCAATGTTGGATCACCATTAGATACCTGGAAGAGATAGAGGACGGTCGTCTCGTTTTTTAAGCTAAGTTCTCAGTTCGATTCTCAGCAGTGGGGGCCATGGATTTGAACTGTTGATAAGCTCATCAGTAGAATGTAACGACCGCCTAATATATATATTCCAGCTTCCCATGGTGGTCTATTCATGATTTCAATGAAACTCACAATGCAACTACACAACCTTATCTATAAATGATGTACTGATAGTCAAAGTCATGAAATAAGTGATAAAAATGAGGTGCATTACGGGGTTGTAAAGATTGTTAAGTTACACATTTTCGAAACCATGAATCGATCAATGTTAGACCATCATTAGAAACCTGGAAGCACTGGACGGTCGTGAGAAAGCTTCTCCGAGTTCTAGTGGGAAGACGTGACCAGTGAAGTTCAACATGTTCGGGTGTAGACAGTAACTACCAAAGATTGTGTATGAGGTTGCGCAACTCCGTGAATTGATCAAGTTAGACATTAACACTGTTAGATACCGGCTCAGTGGTCCAATGGTTAGGAGTTCACGCACGATACCGAAGGTCTGAGTTTGAATCCTGCCAGGTGCAGGAGTCGTGGATGCGCACTGCTGGTAAGTCCGATACCAGGATGAAACACCCGTCCAGTGCTTCCAGGTTTCAAATGGTGGTCTAACATCGATCAATTCATGGTTCCCATAATGAGATGTTCAAATTGGTTTTACTTACTACTTTCAAACTTTTTCAAAGTTTATAACGGAATATGAACGTGACGAAGTATTATTAGTTCATGAAAAAGAACTCAATATTTTTTCAGATTCTTTCTTGATCAAGTTGCAAATAAATTTATGACTGTTTGAAATGATGAAGAAAATTTGTGTGAAGCTTCTTAAATGGCTGATTTTGGTAGTGTAGCGTTTAACTGAACAATCTATTTAGTTTGAAGAACTCAACATTACAGAATATTACAACAGCTATATGCAAACTTCTTAAATGGTTGTTTGAATGAAATAAATGACGATTTTTACTTTTTTTTTCTCGTTTATTTAAACAAACGAAAACAGATGTTCAATATTCTATTCAGCTATTTGGAATAGAATATGTATCATCAGAAATACTTAGCCTTAGGTGTAATTTTCTTCGCAAATATAGTTAGTTCATGTTCAATGTTGAACATAACTACTGGTTGGTTTAAATTAGGTTTTAAGGTCAAACAAAAGTAAATTCAATCAACTGATTCATCAGATTCTGGAATAATAAGCCTCATAACTAATAATCTACTATCTCTACCACTATGGTATTTGAATTGACGATTGCCTCACAGTGCTAATGTGGTGTTGCAACCTGAACTGATGTACTTCCGTACGAAGTTCCAGGTTGCAGCTGACTGACTGAGATCGTGAATCAACCATTGTTAGACCACGATTGCAAACTTGAAAGCACTGAACGGCTGTTTTGTCATGGTACGGGACTCATCAGCAGTGCGCATCCACGACTCCTGCCACTCACAGGATTCGAACCAAGGACCTTCGGTCGTTCTTGCGAACGCATAAACTCTGCACCTTTGAGGCAGCAACCGAAGATGGGTTAATGTCTAACTCTGATCGTTCGAAGGATTTTGCACAATTCATGATTTCAGCAACAAACAACGATCTTCATTACTCTAACTGAATGATAATAATAATAATACTCTACCTGATTACTTAAGCGAAATTAAGTGAAATGTTGCTATTGTGTGATCCAAACTGAGGTTTGGATTGAGGAATAACTGTCTAGGTAGCTTAGATACTCGTCTTGCCCAGTTGAAATCCAAAACAAGTGATTTGGGTAAATAACGGTTCTAATATTCATCATAAATATAAATTTACGTCATTACCTAAACAAATATTACCACCTAGTTATTCCACCAACAACTGTTCATTTAATCAAATCCACAGAAGATAAATGATATTCTATCCCTCCTGGATAGATCAGATTCATTCGACAGATGATATTTGGTTGCTTTATAAGACAGTGTTTCTAATTCTGGAAGGGTGTTTCAATTCACAATAAAAATGCACCATTCTAGTCAATGCAAGCGACTCAATCAAAAGAGGAACAAATCAATATGGCTGTCGCCATGATTAAGTATCAGCTTAAACAACATAAATGCAATTCAGAAAGAACTATAGAAATTCAGTTAAGGCAAAAAGAGATTGAAACTATAATAAAATGCAAATATTACCATCTGAAAAATGAAATCGAACAGATTAACCAAGTGTACAACTGAAGTGATCAATATTGAACAAATCACCAATGTAAACGTGGAGGGATTTCGACAAACAAAACCTTCAAAAAATGAATCTTACAACTATATCAGAACTAAAGATTAATTAGTTTATCAGCATTGAACAACAACAGCAACAACATTGAACCACAAAACACTTTTTTTTATTCAAAAATTTAACTTACCATCTGTAAAACTTTGTGTTATTGTTGCTAAACTATCACGTAAATTTTGTTGATTACAAGCGTCGTCAAATTCATGATTAATTAGACTGGAATTATATCTAAAATAGAAGAAACAATTTTAATTGAATGATGATTTCTCAATCGAAACTAAATACTTTTCATTCATAATGTATATGGAATAGGGCTTTGAAAAAGAATGTACTCCGTGAGGAGCCTGTCTAGAGTTACTGATAGTCACGAGCCCGGATAAATGCAGGAGGCTTAAGCATGCGATTTACGAACCCATCCCGTCGAAAATCAACAAGCGAAAAAAAACACTAACCAGAAAAAGTTGATTTTGAACTGTTTTAAAACTGGAGGAAAAAGTAGAAATGAGTATTTTTACACGTTGAAATCATCAATCACTCATTGCTAGACCACCATCAGAAACCTGGAAGCACTGGATACGGCCGTTTCTTCGTGGTATGGGTCAGTCAGTCAGATGCAACGTAGAACTTCGTACGTAAGTACATCAGTTCATGTTGCCATACCACATCAGCACAGAGATATTAATTGTCAATTCAAATCCAATAGTAGAAGAGGTAGTAAATGTAACAGAAGTATTCGAAGAGGTAAGGATTAGAAGATATTATTCAAGAAGCATGATTCAGTGAGAAAAGTTTAGAAAGTCGAAACTAGAGGGGTTGAAGAATCCAGAAGATTAGGATTTGAGAGAACACAAAGAATAAATGCACCGGCGCCATTGGAAACGATTTTGAGCCATATCGTTCAAGGTCTCTAACCATCGATTATTATCATCTCGCGGACCCCAACCAGGTAGTCTACATCTACCAACATGAATCAGTACACTTGTCAATGACTTCATGGATTTCTGCCATGTTTTGGTTTGGCCGCCCCTAACTTTCTTCCAACCTACTCCTACACTACAAAACAAAGCTCTTCGAGGCAGTCGGTGGTTAGGCATACGCAACACATGTCCCAACCACCTCAACTGATGAAGTTTCACCACTTCATCGATTGATCTGCCATTCTCACCTAGCACCCGTTTCCTAACAACAGCATTGCTCACTCGGGTGTCCCAGGATATACGAGCAATGCTTCGAAGACACCTATGATCGAAAACCAGTACCTATGAATATCTTCTACTCTCACTGGCCATGTTTCACAGCCATAAAGTAAGACGGAGCGAACTACTGCGCATTACACTCGTCGTGGTATGGGACTCATCAGTAGTGCATATTCACGACTCCTGCACTTTGCAGGATTCGAACCCAGGACCTTCGATCTTGTGCGCGAACGCCTAACCAGATTCCTAATTTGAATTGTCTCAGTTTAGTCATTATGATATAGATTTATGTAGAATAGATGAATTATAGTTAGAAGTGGAATCTAGAAAGTGAGTTTAGTTCTGTATGAAAATTGACTTGCATTTCAGAATTGATGTTCACTCAGAAACTCGAAACAGGTACTCTTGTCTTTGACATCATGGTATAACTGAGAAGGCAGTCAACATCATACGGAATTCGTACGATGGACTGACTATACTGCAAAATCGTGGAAAGAGGATAGTTAACAGATTTATTCTAAGTAAGGATAATTTAGACATGTCTGGCTATTGTCTCTTTCTTGAACTTCTGGTAGTTGACTAGATTATAGAAACCTCAACATCTCAAGAGAAGCAGGGGATACAGTGGAAAGCTTGGATGCAACTGGACCGTCTGGACTTCGCAGATTCCCCTGCTCTTCTGCCACACACTCAACAGAAAATACAGGTGAAGATGGCCAGTATTGCTGCAGACTCTTCAGCAGTAGTTATCAATGTACACAAGGGAGAAGCAATATCCTCCGACAAAACACAGCATTGACTTGCTAAAGCACACTTGACAGAGAAGCTTTTGATAATGCGTAAACCTTTAGAAAACTAGGCTGCCTCACTGATGAACAAGGTGGATCTAATGAAGATATGGAGACGGGGATCGGTAAAGTAAGGGCAGCATTTCTACAATCTTAGAACATCTGGAACTCAAAGCAACTATCGACTATCACCGAATTCAGAATTCGCAGTACAAACGTCAAGGCAGTTGCATTGCAGTCAGATGGAACTTGGAGAACTACAGATGCTATCATTCAGAAGATACAGGCACTCACCAACAACTGCCTACACGACATACTCCAAATCTGTCGGTCGAACACCATCACCAACTATACACTGTGGAAGAAACTCAACCGAATTCCAGCTGAGAACGAAATCGGGAGGTGGATAAGACATACATCGAGAAACCAACCTAATGCAACAGTAGGCAAGTCCTCACTTGTAATCCTTAAAGTGAAATAAAGAGAGGCATAATAAAGGACACACTGAACCTGCTATAGGAGGGAGACATCAAAGGAATGGATAGTACGTGTCAAGAACTGCCAAAGACAACGTAGGACAGAACTGGTTGGATAATCGTGATCGATAGCCCGCGCTCCATGAGGGTTGATAGGTGTAATTAGGTAGGTGATATACTTATATAAACATATATATATACACTGAAAAAACAGTACGTACAACTGATTTCTACTGCCTACTGATGGATGGTTTTCTGAAATTGAATTACGCGTAGAACGTTGACTAGGTGTTGTAGGCCGTTGAAGAGGTAAATCATTGCGTGAAATATTATTGGACATTGTTGTTTCATTGTCACCATTCCATATTGATTTACACCAATCAGCACAATTGTTGTTAGTATCGTTTTTCGTCACAGTTTTCGCTGCATAATTATGCTTTAATAAACCTTCACCAACCCATAAATATGGATCTTGATTATTAGTCTGTGAACCGGTTAATATCATTAAATCATTTGAATCTGGAGGTGGTAAGTCTTGTAGATCGAGTTCAGCCTCTAAAACTGATGCATCCTCCTAAATAAAGTTTGAAAGAAAAGCAACTAGATGATTATGTGATCAATAAAACTTTATTAATATTGAACAAGTAAAATATTCGAAATTAGTTACAATATTTTTCCTGAATAAGACTGCCTACTAATGAGTAGTATAATAAAATAAGCAAATCTTTCTAACTATAATCACAGGGTTTTGGGGATTGCTAAGTATCATAGGTTACGATTGGACATAGACTAACACTGGACGATTATTTAGCCGCAGTATGGGACCCATCAGTGGTGCGTATCTACGATATTACATGTACCCCGATCTCCATTGATAAAGCCCTAACCTCTTGATCAGAGAGCTGGTGAAATCCAGAGGTGTTAAGGTCTAATTTCAGTCAGTTCACGATATTGCATGATCACCACCCATGATTTCCGTTAGGTAACTGCCTCACACCCGACAGAGTTGAAATTCACTGTTAATTGTTTCAGGTGCAGTTATGACTTCGCACTGAAACTCACTCATTTGACTAACTTCGAGATGAAATATTGGGACAAAACGCCTGTCCAGTGTTTCCAGGATTCTAACAGGGATGAATTTACGATTTAACTCAATCTTTATTAACTTCTAAAGTAGTAAAGTTCGTTTGAGCCTATCGAAATTCATGCTTTTCATATGTGATAGATTTCAAATATTTTTAGATCAGACGCGAAAAGAAATTTTGAATGTTTTTTGGGTTTAACAAAACTACTAAACACTCAGATTTGTTATCCTTTCTCAACTACCGAAAAAAGCATTTATTGCGTAGACAGTCTTCACAGTTGTGGAAAGAGATAAAATCATCAAGTAGAATGATATATTTAAATTACCAGGTTGTCTCATCTAAGATTTCGAATTCTTTGTCATTAAAAGTATGTTCATTAATCTACAAGACTGAGTAATATTGTAATATTTGTCCTCTGACTGTTAAGATGTTATTTCATTTGGAAACATTGAACAGCCGGTTATACAGTAGAGACAATGAAAGCGATATCTCTAAAAGCATGTCTTTGACATAGTTGAATAGAGAGTGGACAACCTTGATGAACATCATTTGAAGTAGTGAGTTCCGATGACAGCTCACCATAAGCTCTCACCCCACCAGTTCTATTTAAGTACAGAACCAGTATAAGGTTAATGTACTTTTCTGTTACTCCTTTTAGTGACAGACATTGTCACAGGACCTCACCAGCACTAGAGTCAAATGCTGCCTTAAAGTTGGGAAATAAGGTCGGACGTCTGAACGCGTGTCTATGTTCTAAGACCTGTCTAAGTGTGAATATGTAGTCTATACATCCACGTACAGGTCTGAAACCAGCCTGGTTTTCTTGAGTCTGCTGTTCATGAGCCTTAGTTAGACGTCCGAATGTTAGTGAAGCCCATATCTTAGGCAATATATTAGTCAAATTCTGTGACTGTCACAAGAGGACTTTTGTCCTTTCGTATAGACTGAGACAATCAATGAATGAGACCTGTCGGAATGGATTACGCCTAATTCGCAGATTCTACATAAGATCTCAGTCAATCTAACAGCTAAAACTGGTCCAACATCTTTAAAAGTCTCAGAGTTGTTTCTGAATGACTGACCGACTGAAGGTTTATAATTTCACAATATAGTATGTTCAGGAACTTAAGGTTAGAAAGCAAGAGAAATGTCATTCTGTTCTAGCTAAATCATCTGGAAAACCAGTCAATAAATGTTGAGCAGTTTACTTCAAGGACAACCAACGTGCACGGACAGGCGCATCCGGCATCAGTTCTCCTTAGTATTTCTACCAACGGTTAATACTAATATATTCTATAGCCTGTTTAGAGTATTTGTTCTAATCAGACACCTGGTTATAACGACAGCCTCATCCAAGTTAGGACATTAGCCAAGAGGAATGTATTTGATGTAAACTAGTAGGTCACACGATTCCTATCAGACTGAAGTAGGCCCGCAACCATCGATACAGATCCTTCATGTTGATGACCTATCAGGTCAAATCATATGACTCCTATCATCAGTAAGACTATTTGGAAAAAAAACTAATTAACTGGTGATTATTGTCAAAACTGTACTAACTAACCTCATCATCTTCATCGTCAATATCATCATCTGAGTCGACCAACGGCGGTTGTTCAGCTATAAATGCAATCAATGGCAAGAAAACAAGAGGATTTTTAAAGATAGAAAAACAACTTGACAAATCTCAATGATCTGAATTTTACAAGTTATTTATCAGTAAAATTAGAATATGCAACTGATGTTCCAGCGCCGGAAAAGAAGCCAATTTTTATGCACTCGTAAATTGATTCAGTATTTTTTTTGGAAAATGTTTCTTACAAACTGGTTTTATTTTTTATTACGTAGTTCAGTCATGTGTGAAACTTCAAAACTTTTTACTGCCGGAGCAAAGTACAACTCACACCTTCTCGAATCGCCATGGGGATTAAGGGAATCAATCTCTTGAACTAACCTGAACGGCTAGGGGATGATTGAGCTCACCTTCATTCTACTAAAGTTGATAGAAATCGGAGTTATCTCCCCCCAGTCCATTGTAAATACAGACAGCCTGAAAAGTTTGTACCAACGGTTTATGTGTTATGCAGACCTAGAGAAACAAATTACTCCCTTTGGTTCCTGATTATTCTGTCTTTATGGAGGGCTATTAAGCCTGGTGGAAACCAGAGCGATAGTCATAAATTATGCTGTAACCAGTACATATGGGTCGACATTAAACTTGTTTGTGGTATGAGCATGAAGAAGCGGATTGTCAGTAGACGAATTTTAATCCAATGGGCTGAAAGAAAGTACTTCACTTCAGTCATCTGCCAGTGCAATTGAGGTCTAATATGATGAACCAATATCAAACAGTACCCATACGAATGAGTATATTATGGAGTATTTACTTGAATTACTATCTGTCCACGTCCTGTAATGGTATACATATTATCGATCTCTCTACTTTTGGGTTGTTTCCGGTTAGGGAAGTTGATTATATGGCTGTACTGAAGCAGATAAGTAACATGTTTGTTTGCTTCACAAAGTATAGTCCCTTCTGAGTCCTCAGTGATAACTCAAATTATTCCAAAGTAAACTACCAACACATCCGTTTACTTTTCTTTCTTGAGTGCTGAAATTTCATCAGTCTATAATAAAGCTCTTTTCTTTTCTAAAAGAGTCAATCAGTATCTTTAACTTAGTTCAGCAAGTTTGATTAACTAACTAATTATCTCACTTGTAACAGAAGTTGTAAGCAACCATCGGTTTTGATTTCACACGATAAACTTGATCTACATAATTTTCAAATTCATTGTGTTAGGATATTCATCCAATATCCTAAGAGAATTATTGGTCAATTCCTATTGGTTAGTTCCTACTGGTCAATATTATGATCGTCCTAGATATCATGTCATGTTCTCGAATGTTGTTTCCTATAAGTCGTCCTGACTATAAATGTCACTTTAAATGTTGTTTCCTATTGGTAGTCTTAACTGTCAATGTCACAAACTTCGATGCTGTTTCCTATTCGACCTAAATGTGTAAATATGCATTATCTGTAACGTTTTATGACCTGGATCCTTTTAGTCCGGGATCCTGATTCTCTTTTGGACTCGAATCTCGTACTTTCTGGATGTTCGTAGAACGCAGGTTACAGAGTTACTCAGTAGAATAGGAAAACCATATCGTAAATCGTTTATTTGCAAAATATCAGTTCATCATATCGAACTGGACTGTTCCTGTTGCAAAACATCAATCCATTGTCTGACATTTCACTATTCATGCGTTTCATACAAATTCCATTGTGTTCTAACTCTTCCTTTCTTGATCTTCCCCCATCTTCTGCTGCCAGACATTACGTTTACACTCACGTCATATACTACTTATAAGTAGCTCGCACCACAACACATTGTATCCTTGTAATTTCATTACTCAATTAATTTTACTTATTGAATTACAAATATTCCATATTCTCTTGATTTTACTATCATTATATTGATTTCCCTTTTGATTTAATTCTAAGTTATGATTCTCATTTGAACCATTGAACTTCGATTGTCATGTGTTCGGGTTAATCATAAAATCGATTGTGAAGTTTGAAATAGTGTACATTTTTTAAATCGTATCCCATATATATACATATATATTGTAGCTATACTTGTTTGGTTATCAATAAATTAACTTGAAAAAATCATTGTTTTTCTTTGCTTTAAAGTTTTTAATCATTTGTTCAATTGAAAATTGAATATTAAATAGTAAACTTCACAACATATCAACTGGACAGTTAGGACGCAGCTGGATGATCTGGACTTCGCAGATGACCTGGCTCTTCTATCTCACACGCAACAACAAATGCAAGAAAAGACGACCAGTGTAGCAGCAGCCTCTGCAGCAGTAGGTCTCAACATACATAAAGCAAAAAGCGAAATTCTTCGATACAACACAATATGTGCCAACCAAATCACTCTTGATGGAGATGCCTTGGAGGACGACGTTAACACCTTTACATATCTGGGCAGTATCATCGACGAGAATGGTGGATCCGATGTAGATGTGAGGGCGTGGATTGGCAAAGCAAGGGCTGCATTTCTACAGTTGAAAAATATCTGGAACTCCAAACAACTTTCAACCAAAACTAAAATCAGGATTTTCAATACAAATGTCAAGACAGTTATACTGTATGGAGTGGAAACATGGAGAACTATGAAAGCCATCATCCATAAGATATAAGTGTTTATTAACAGTTGTCTTCGCAAAATACTTCGTATTCGTTGGCCGGACACCATCAGCAACAACCCACTGTGGGAAAAAACAAACCAGATTCCAGCAAAGTTGGAAATCAGGAAGAAGTGCTGGAAGTGAATAGGAAATACACTGCGAAAAGCATCGAACTGCGTCACAAGACAAACCCTTACCTGGAACCCTCAAGGTCAAAGGAAAAGAGGAAGGCCAAGGAACACACTACGTCGAGAAATAGAGAAAGATATGAGAAGAATGAACAAACATTGGACAGAACTGGAAAGGGAAGCCTAGGACAGAGTTGGTTGGAGAAAACTGGTGGGCGGCCTATGCTCCACTGGGGGTAACAGGCGTAAGTAAGTAAGTAAGTAAGTAATGTTTATTTTCATACAAAAAAGTAAAAACCATTTGTCAATGTAGTTTAAAGCTGAAGTTAGTGTTTAATAATTTCAGTGTTCACATTTTTGTTCATTTAGTGACTGATAGACTTTTTTCTTTCACATCTGATATGTTGAGCTGTATTGTATAACTAACGTTGCCTATATATTCACAGCAAACAATGAACAATCATTCAGGTCATTTGGATTTTTGTTTTAAAAAAGATAAAATCTAGACACTGATATGCAATACATATTCACGATTAAAACAAATGAAATCATGAGTAAAAATTGAACATTGAATGAAAACCTCAACCCAGGAATCTCAGTACATACCAGCAATTTATTTATCAATTTAAAAAAAAAACTTACAAGAATTTAATCTTTGCAAGATAAATTCAAATTGACGATTGATTTCCGGTTGATTAGGTTTAATAAACTTTTTCAAAATATGCTTTAGATTCTAATCGTTAAAAAGAAAAGAAAAATAAAATTGTTTCTTGAAGTTACTACTGTTTTTACAAAAATAAGTAGTTTGCGTTTTCACACTAAATTTATTTGTCTATTCTTGAATATTGAATCAAATTGTGTACAGGGTACGCAGAAAAGAAACATAATTTTATGGGTTTTAAAAGTAAAAATAGCAAACACTGATGAGAAAATTTTGTTTTAGAGAGAGAAAAAAATGAAATATACTGGCACCCGTATTTATCAACAATATATTTTTCTTAGGCGTGTATGTGTACCACTACTACTAATATGTATATATGTTCATAAGTAGTACTATGATTATAAGATGTGTCTCATATGATGCATTTTTGTTCAATAGATGTTTCGTTTCTTTGTTTTAAAGTATTTATTATTTGTTTACCGATTTAGCAAAACAAAACACTCGATAAGAGATAAGTTGTTTTATTTTATTAAACGCAATGGTTACTTGAGTAGTACACAACGATTAAAGTGGAAGCCGATTATCATTGTGAAACAAACAGTTCAAGATCACGAGAAAAAAAAATTGGACAGAATTATTGTGTTTGTTTTTTTATTAAATTTGAGTTCAGGACTTCCAAAACAGTGTGTATTGACTGATAAGAAATTATTCAATGACGATGGATTCATTTAGAGTAGTGAGACAGGTGCTTATGATTCATAGTTCACAGTGGATTACTGAGATGCAATTGTCTATACAAATCCCATAGTGGTAGAGGTAGTAGAAGTACTAACAGTAATCGAAATGATTGAGCTTCGAAGATAACATACAAGAAGTATAATTCAGTGAAATAAACTTAAGAAGAGAAAGGTTCGCGCACAATACCGAAGGTCCTGGGTTCGAATCCTGCGAGGAGCAGGAGTCGTGGATGCGCACCGCCTCTGATGAGTTTCATACCAGGACGAAATGGCCGTCCAGTGATTTCAGGTTTCTAATGGTGGTCTAACAATGATTGATTGATGATTTCAGATGTGTAGAAAAATACAAACCTCCAAAACTCTCCCCAAAAATAACCTTGAGAAGAGAAAGATGAATGTGATGAGGAATTTAGAAGATTCGAATTTCAGAAAACACAAACAACGGATGCATCTGTACCATTACAAACGATTTCAAGCCAGGTTATTTAAAGTATCTAACCATTAGTTACTATTGCCTCGCAGACCCCAACAAGGTAGTCTACATCTACTAACATGACTCAGTCAATTTGTCAGTGACTTCATGGATTTATTTATGCCATGTTTTGGTCTAGCCAACCCCAAGCTTTTTTCCAACCCACCTGTTAGGATATTCATCCGATATCCTGAATTATCAGTCTATTCCTATTGGTTAATTCCTACTGGTCAATTTTATGGTCATCCTCGATATCATGTCATGTGCTCCAATGTTGTTTATTATTGGTTGTCCTGACTATCATTGTCACTTCAAATGTTGCTTCCTATTGGTCGTTTTAACTGTCAGTGTCACAGACTTTGATGCTGTCTCCTATTCGACCTAAATGTGTAAATATGCATTAGCTGTAACATTTTATGACCTGGATCCCTATTCCGGAATCCTGATTCTTTTCTGGACTCGGACCTCATACTTTCTGGATGCTTGTAGAATACAGGTTCTACTTCATATCAACTCTTCTTATTTTTACTCAATATGGGGTTGGTTAGGATAATCGGATTCGAGTAGCATGTCTTGTCGCCAGATCCTCGATCCTTGTTCTTGTTTTCCGACTAAGGTAAACTAGTAATAAATAGTTGAAGCATATCAAAATGACGTGTTTACGTGCAGGCGTAACAGCACCACCACAATAGTGTTATATCACCGAAATAATAATAATAATCTAACTTCAGACATTAATACAATAAAAACATAACTATATCCAGGTTCATTATGAGTATGTGCTTGGATGCATACGTAATATTTATTGTGACATCAATGTAGTTCGGTAATAATTAAAAACCAAGCTTTAGTTCACAGTCATTTTTATATATGCAATAAAAATGTGGAAAAAGCATTTTTTTTATCACATATTTATATGGTTGAAATTATTTTGTTAGTAGTAGTAGTAGTAGTAGCAGTAGTAGTGTGAGTAGTATTAACAATAGTAGCAGTAGTGGTAGTAGTAGTAGTAGTAGGATCGATCGATTTACATTTTATGGCATTTTTACTCTCTCTCTACACACACACACACTCACACACACAAGTAGACAAGTTTACACTGGCACATGTGTACGTGTACACGTGGATGAGAAGAATAAAAAAATAATTTGGCGTATGCTTGCTTACATACTCACACACACACGCGCACACTGTGTGAAGTGTATGATATAATATACAAGTGAAACTACATTTTTATTCAACTGAGAAACAAATTGTTTTTTTTTCACAATAAATTGTAAATTGGATTGTGTTTTTTTATCATTTTTTATCATTTGTTTTATTAATGTGAAATTATGAATTTGAGATGGTGGAGAAGATTTGTAGCTCAGATGTGGATGATTGTGGTGGTGGCTGTGGTGTTTGGTTCTCTGAGCTGGTTGTGGAGCTTACGTCATTGTTCTTCTGCTGAACAACATCATCGTTAGCACAAACTTCAGATAGCAGAAGTGAAGCATTCGAATTTCTCCACGCATTTGACCTGTAGCTTGTTCTGCTAACCTCGATCTTGATTGGTTGTTGTTGACCTTAAATAGCAACCAATCAAGATCGAGGTTAGCAGAACAAGCTACAGGTCAAACGTGTGCAGAAATTCGAATGCTTCACTTCTGCTATCTGAAGTTTGTGCTAACGATGATGTTGTTCAGTAGAAGAACAATGACTTTAGCTCCACAACCAAAACATCCCATAGCTCAGAGAACCAAACACCACCACCACAATTATGAATCTAAGTATAAAAATAATATGATTTTGTATGACAGTGTCATTGTAAAAAATGTTGATAGCTGATGAGTAGTAGCACATCATACAACAGGACGAAGCGGGCCGTCTTTTAATGCTTCCATTAGTGTTTCTAATAGTGATTTCAGTAAATTAAGTCAGCAATCTTCACAAGCTTATAATGAGAAGCATAACTTGTGCGCACACTAGTGACTAGCTTCATGAGGAACTTCTTGGAGTTGTAGGTAGAAGATGTAACTAGTGGAGTTCGACCGTGTTGGGTGTAGGCAGTAACTAACCAAGACAATCGGTGAGGTTGCGCAAAAACTTAGATAGATCAAAGTTTGACTTTAAACACCCTTGGACGTCGATCATGTGGTCTAGAGGACAAGCATTCAGATCCTACGAGTCGCAAGAGTCATGGCTGCGCATTGCTGACGAGTCTCCTCAACACCAAGACGAAACGACCATCCACCAATTCTAGATTTCTAATGGTGGCCTAACAATGACTCATTCATGATTTCAATAGTAGTACAAATCAAACTATGGACTGATGTTTGTTTATATCACTGGATAATTCTCAGTTATGTATATTTATAAGTTTAATATTAGTGAACAGAAGAACGCATCATAAGAAAGAGTAATTTCAAATGTGTTTCAACTTATGAGAGTTAATTAATTGAAATCTATTGATGTCATTTGAAAATAGTATACATTAGTATACAGTGTTTATTGTAGCGTTTTACTAAATCATATTCAGTCTGTCAGTCAGCTACAATGTAGAACTTGTTACGTATGCACATCATTTCAAGTCGCCCTACCACATTATCTAAGAAATCTCATCGTCAATTCAAATCCCATAGTGGTAGATGTAATAGAAATAATAAAGGTAATGAAGAAGATTAGGGTTCGAAGATATTACTCAAGAAGTATAATTGTGTGAGATAAATTTAGAAAGCGAAAGATAGAGGTTATAGGGAATTGAGAAGATTAGAATTTCTGGGAACACAACATGTAGATAAAATTCGTGCTAGTGCAAACGATTTTGAGCCATGTCATTTAAGGTCTCTAACCATTGATTACTACTGTCTCGCGGACCTCAACGAGGTAGTATACATCTACAAACGTAGCTCGGTCAAGTTGTTCCTATTGAGTTCATAGATTTTTGCCATGTTTTGCTCTGGCCGCCCCTAGCTTTCTTCCAACCCACTCCTACATCACAAAACATAGCTCGTCGAGGTAGTCGGCGGTTGGGTATTCGTGGCACATTTCTCAATCTTCTCACTTTTATACTTCATCTATTGATTTGTTGGCCTTACTTAGTTCTCGTTTCCGAACAACAGCATTGCTTACTCGATTGTCTCCAACTAGTCTAAAACATTCAAACAACCCTTTATTTAAATTTGATACACTGTATACACGTGGTTGTATTCCCTCAGGTGGATGTTCCGATTGAGAGAGTGTTAGAGGTGTTAGATCCTCAGAACTCGCTTGATAAATATCTTTATTTTGGATTTATTTCATGGACTGATCAGTTGACCTTGAGATCACATTTCTCACCAGGAAAATCCTTGGCTGTGATTGGTTACTGTGTCATTTTAGTGTGCTATTTTTGTGACTGTCCCAATGACGTCTCTATAGAGTATAAATAAACGCAATTTGAGTGCTTGGATTCATTGTGTGCTGGATGGGTGTGTGTAGAATACAATTTCTACAATATATTAAGACTTCTTCCTGATTCAGTTTGACCAAGAGATCACAGTAGCCTACCTAGACGCTGGTTCATTGTTTTGTTCTCACTATTCGACTAAGGAGAACTCGTAATAGTTTCAAGCATACCTAGAGATGAGCGTAACAAGAAGCTTTTATTGGTCTTCTCTGAACAACACCATCTACACAGCGACAGCATTAAGGTCAACAACAACAACTAATCTAGATCGAGGTTAACAGTACAAAGCTAAAAGTCATACAACATGGAGAAATTCGAATACTTCTTCACTTCCAACGGAAGTCTATGCTACTGCTGATGATGATGTTTGTTGTTCAACAGACAAACAATGAAAAAAGCTCCTCAAACCAAAACATCCAAAGCTCAGAGAAAGAAAGAAAGTTCACCACAATCATCCGCCTGACCTAAAAATTTCCTCCACCATCTCAAATGATATATATAGAAGAAGAAAACATATGTTTGAACTTACCATTTTCTCAGCTGTTTTTCTAATCTCTGCTAATGATAATATTGAATATAATGCCCCATTGATATATGGTATGATGTCATTGTTATCAGTGCTTAAAAGATCCATTAATACATTGAGTAAACGTCCTGTAATCGGTATACAACATTGTTTACCTAGAAAGTTGAAAATTTAGAGTTTATATTATAGATATATTATATATATATATATATAACGATTTTATTTTCGAAACCATGAATCGATCAATGTTAGACCAACACCATTAGAAAGAAACCTGGAAGCACTGGATAAGGCCGTTTCGTCCTGGTATGGGACTCCTCAGCAGTACGCATCCATAACTCCTGCACCTGGCAGGACTCGAACCTGGGACCTTCGGTATTGTGCGCGAACGCCTAACCATCGGACCACTGGGCCGGTATCTAATGGTGTTAATGTCTAACTTGATCAACTCACGGAGTTGCGCAACCTCATACACAGTCTTCGGTAGTTACTGTCTACACCCGAACAGGTGGAACTTCACTGGTCACGTCTTCCCACTAGAGGAACTCGTAGAAGATTCCTCACGAAGCTAGTCACTATTGGAAACCTGGAAGCACCGGACGGCCGTTTCGTCCTCGTTTGGGACTCGTCAGCAGTGCACATCCACGAAAACTGCACCTCTCAGACATATTGGCGTGAGTAAGTATGACTCTCTTAAGGTAGCCAAATGCCTCATCTAATTGAATGGGTATATTATATGACGCGCATAAATGGAGCCTTCTGGGGGTCGTGGTGGCGGCTACCTCTTTGTGGTCCTGCCGGGCAAACTGGCGTTGTTTACAGCGCTGCGGTTAGAAGCCTAGCATGGTCCAGAATAATGGTTCGTGTTCATGGTCGCGTGGCCGTGGATGCGGTTTGTCACTCTGAGGAATTAGGACTCAACGCCTCCAATTCTGAACCCCGTCCATTAAGCGTAGGTAAATTTTAAATAATGAAGTAAATATAGCTCTACTTGAAGGCGGCCCCAGGCGATTTGTTAGGAGAAGCAGCCGTAGATATCCTGGACTATTAACGCCGACCCTATGTGGTTGTCCCAAACACTCTGCATGTCGATGTCTTGTGTCAACTGGCATCGACGCCCCTTAAACAAGGGTCTCCAGTTAGGTCATTTGATTCAATGCTAAAGGGTACTTGGACGCCAATAATGTCTGCCCACTTATGTAGCGGGACTAACCCTGCGTGACTGAGTGCTTGCACTTGGTCGAGCCCATGACATCCACCCCATGGGAGGGTGAACGTTCCGGCTGACCTTGTGGGACAAATTCGATCTTTAGCTTCATTTGGGGTTTGGGGGCTCCTATCGATTGTATCAGCGCAAGGCAGTTGGAGGCCAGACGGTTGGAACGGCTGCTGGTTAGTGCACTGCTGGGTGGCTCGGTAATCCGTTCGGGGTGCCAGGTCTAGCTGGGGAGGCTCGCCTTGCCGCCCTTGCCAATTGGGGATTGTGGGTAGTGGATTGATTGGAGGTATCTTGTTGATTCATAAGTGCCCGAACGGGGGCTACTGCTAGTGTGCGTGCTTTTTGGACGTCCACTTGTCTGCAAACCAATATAGACAATATGTGCGTTCCCGTATGGGGCAGGGGTGATCGCAAAATATTGGCATTTGTGAGAATCCTTGTGTTGCCTAAAAAGCAGCGGCGTGCATGTGCAGCAGGCTTGTTGGTTAACCATGAGTATATATATATATATATACTTCATACTGTAAGTAGTAGTGTATAAGTAGTATGCGGCGAACGGTCACCCAAAAGTTGCTGCTGCCAACGAGAAAAGTTTGTCAGAAGACATCGAAATACATGACGTGATCAGAGCGTATAAAAGACCATATGAAAGAAGACATACGTGTGTGTGTGTGTACCAACTCTGTTGAGCCTACATGGCTTGTTCTAGAGTTCGGGTCAAACTAATCAACCTTTTCTGACCAGGTCATCATTATTCGCATGCCTTTCGACCTAATCAATCAATAATTCACTTTCAAAACTTGTGCTAACTTTGCTTATCTCATGTGTAGCCTTCTTTTGTTACCTGACTATTAAATACTTAGTCATTCTTGATCTCTCGGAGTTGGCTCACTTGCCTTCTGCATTTCGCTTAGCTTAGCTTTGCTTTGAGGCTTTGTATTCTCATGTCAGGATGCTGAAATGAAATAAATTCGTCGACGAAAACCTTGTTTGGCTTCCTATTATTGTGTTCGCACAAACCAGGCTCACCTAAGCACATGGTATACGCGGGAATTCAAAGTAAGATTTATTTCATCGCATGCCAAATCAATTCTTTCAAACTGGATTCAGATCGCCGGCCATTAAAACGGTGAGCCCTACATCAAAATGACTTCCATCACTAAATCGTATTCAGCATCTTTATGTCGCATACAATACCCGTGAAAAATCAAATTCTACACGTTTAACTTTTATAATCCAGCACAGATCTTGATTGATCCTTGAACATTTCCAAGGATAATAGTTTGTTCAAATGATTAATTGACTAACTGATTATAGTAAATTCAAAAAAGTTTATTACTGATAATCATCATTCATCGATGAAGACGTACGGATTTTTTTATGTACTCGATTGGCATTTGCCAACTTGCGTCCCTTATGGTGTAGGCAAGATATCCGTTTGCTGACTAAAGGACGAATGTACATCGCAGCAGTTCGCTCCGTCCTAATTTACGGCTGAGAAGCGTAGCCGGTAAGAGTGGAGGATATTCGTAGGTGATTGTAGATGTCTTCGAAGCATTGCTCAAATATCATTGGACAATTTAGTAAGTAATGCTATAGTTAGGAAGGGATGGCAGATCAATCGATGAAGTATTGAAACTTCATCAGTTGGGGTGGTTTGGACATGTGTTGCGTATGCCTAACCACCGACTGCCTCGTCTAGCTAAATTTTTCGGTGTAGGAATACGTTGGACGAAAGCTAGGGGCGGCCAGATTAAAACATGACACAAATCCACAAAGTCACTGACAAACATACTGAAGCATGCTGGTAGATGTAGACCCCCTGGTTGGGGTCCGCGAGATGATAGAAACCGATGGTTAAAGACCTTGAACGACATTACTCAGAATCGTTTTCAGTGGTGCAGATGCATCCACTGTTTGTGTTCTCTCAAATCCTAACCTAAACTCCTCATCATCTCTATATTTCTCTTTATAAAGTTGTCGAAGTGAACTATACTTGAATAATATATTCGATCCCTGATATTCTCCGTTACCACTAATTTTTCTACTATCTCCACCGCTATGATGTTTGAACTGGCATTCGCATCTCTGTGCTAATGTGGTATGGCAACCTGAACTTACCTAATTACGTACGAAGTTCTACATTGTAACCGATTTACTAACTGACTGACCCTGACAGCCTATTCTACTCTACAACATCATGTAAGGAAAGGAATTGTTGGCCGTAATTAAGTAATACGTATTCATTTCGATTCAATGCTTGCAACCTTAAGATAATTGTGATTATCATAATTACACAACCACATTTCAGTTTCATTATGTTCCCAATTGAATATAGTTTCGAAAATTTTGTACAACTTCACTATTTATATTTCATTCTAAAAATAAAATCAGCTAACTTACTTAATATTTTTACAAAGTTTATTAAACCTTCGCACGCAAGACCTAAGTTCATGGGTTCGATTTGAGCGAGTGGCGGGAGTCGTGAGTGACATATTAGGACGGAACAACCGTCTTTCAGTGCTCCAAGGTTTTTAGTAATGATCTAACAACACCGATCGATGTTATGATATTTTCCAAAAACTAACTCATCAATCTCCACAAATCAATGAATGAGGAAAAATTAGTCACAAAATGTTAATTAATCATTTAACCAAAATGATCAACAACAAAAAAATCGTATTCAACTTACCGGAATTTCGTAAACATAAATTCATGCATAATGCAACAGCATATTCCAATGTATAATCAGAGAGATTATTCATATTTTCTAATAAGTTAATAACCCATAGAATAACACCTTGTTTAATCATGACAGTTTGCATCGGCCGTCTAGTAATAATAATAATAATAATAATAATAATAATAATAGTATTAATAATATGTAGTTTGTGATTATAAGATTGTCAAAGTGGTTAAGTTTCATTAAAATCATGAACTGGTCAGTTGTTGGGGATGTTAGATCCCCAGAACTTGCTTGATAAATATGCCTTATTTTGGATTTCATGTTTGCGAGGAGCATGGGCTGATCAGTTGACCTTGAGATCACACATTTTTCATCAACCAGGAAAATCCATGGCTGTGTGATTGGCTGCTGTGTATGTATTTTAGTGTGCTATTTTCATAACTGTCCCAAGGACGTTTCTATGTAGTATAAATAAACGAGAGTTGTATGCTTGATTGTATTGTGTGATTGCTGGGTGTTTGTAGAATATACTTTCTACGCTTACCAAGACTTCTGTTTTGCAGTTTAGGATTCAAGATAGCCTACCTGGATGCTGGTAATTGTCTCGTTCGCATTTATCGACCAAGGTGAACTCGTAGTAGCTTCAAGCGTACCTAGTGACGAACATAACATTAGTGTTAGGCAACTAACTATTGAAAACCACTAAGCATTGGATGACCGTTTCGTCGGATTATATGGTACTCATCAGCAGTACGCTGTGACGCCACTGCAGGTGGGAATCGTACCCAGGAGCTTTGATCTCGCTTACGAACGCTTTACCTCTTGATTACTGAGTCTAACTTCAACTAATCCACAAAATTGAGTGGCCATCATTCATTGGTAATGAAGTTAGGCGCTCGCGCACAAGACTGAAGGTTCTGGGTTTGATTCCGTCTAGCATGGTCATGGATGAGTACTACTGTAGTGAACGAGAACACAAGTGGGGCAACCGAATTATATTTAACGAAAATTACAGAGTTACTCAGCAAAATCGGAAAACCATATCGTAAATCGTTAATCTGCAAAATATCAGTTCATCATATCGAACTGGACTGTTCCTGTTGCAAAACATCAATCCATTGTCACTATTCATGCGTTTCATACAAATTCCATTGTGTTCTAACTCTTCCTTTCTTGATCTTCCCCCATATTATGCTGCCAGACATTACGTTGACACTCACGTTATATACTACTTATAAGTAGCTCGCACCACACTACCAATGATAAGTCCTTTACTAGGACGACTAGAGCCGTCCAATGTTTCCAAGTTTTCAGTTGTTTACTTTGAAATCATGAATGAATCATTGTTAGACAACCATTAGAAACCTGGGAGTACTGGATAGCCGTTTCTTCTCGGCATAGGACTCACCGGCGGTCAGCATCCACAACTCCTGCTAATCGTAGGATTCGAACCCAGGACCTTGTGTTTTGGGCCCTAACGCCTAACCTCTAGTCTACTGAGTCGGCATCCACCGGTGTTAATGACTATCTCTGTCTTGATTAGTTACTCCCCACACGAAACAGGGCTGCACTCCACTGGTCACATCTTCTTACTAGAACTCCGAGGATTTCCTCAAGAAGCTTGTCACTAGTAAGCGCATATTCGATTTTTCTTTGATTGTCTAATATTGACCAGAGCATGAAAAACAACACATATTATGCTGAATTATATTTTTACTCTTTCCCCCTGCTTTGAAAAAGAGAACATGAGTTTTCATCTTTCACATGTAAGTTGCTGTGATGTAACAAGCAGATGGAGAGAATTTTCGAATCATTTTGATTATTGATTTTTTTGCAAAAAATTATTTAGTTGAAGCTCCAAAAAATGTTGTGTTTTTTTTTCTATCAACATCAACTCATCAAAAGAATCTTACTTTATTCAAGGTTAATTATCCATCATCTGATAGAGTTATAAATTATATTTGAAAAAGAATTTTTTTATTTCAAGTGCTTTGGTTTGAAAGAGAGACTAGTTTAGAAAAGTGTCGAAAATAATAAGAAAAGTGAACATTTCCTTGAAATCATGAATTAACTAAAAGTAGATCACCATTAGAAACTTCGAAGCACTGAACAGTCATGGTATAGAAATCATCGGCAGTGCATATCCACGACTCCTGCAACTCACATGATTCGAAACCGGGATCTTTGGTCTTGTGTGCCGGTATCTAATGGCGTTAATGTCTAACATTTCGATCAATCCATGGTGTTGCGCAACCTCATCAATTGTCTTTAGTGAGCATTGCTTCACACCGAGACAGGGTTGAACTCCACTGGTCATGATTTCATTTAGTTAGTCCTGGGTTTCAGTGCTGCAAATTGCAGGAGGCATGGATGCGCACTGCTGATGAGTTCGATTCTAGGAAGAAACGGCATTCCAGTACTTCTAGGCTTCTAATGGTTGTCTGACAGTGATCGATTCATGATTTGATTAAAATAACTCAACTCGGCAACTTCATAATGCAAAACATTTTCGAGTCACTCATTGAAACCTTTCGATATCTTTGATCGAGAAAAGAATTCAGACAAATGTGGGATAATAGAACTGTTGCTATTGATATGACCGATTTACTGAACGTCATTTGGTGTTGATGACCTATTAAAAAGTTGAAAAATGTTGTAAATCCTGTGATAATTGCCTCGTTTTTGCGAATGGTACTGAATTCGATTACAGGAGTGAATATCAACTCTGAGATCCAGGTACATTCATTCAGCTAAAGACGAGTCACGAAAATAAGATGAAATGCGCTTTCTTGATTCCATTGCTGACCACTATCATCCACCTATGCTAAATATGCCACTAACCTAAAGTCATTATTGAGGTAATCTGCACAGAACTTTCGTACTTACTTACTTCCTTACGCCTCCTCCTTTATTCGCGGTTTGAACCAGCAGTAGTCCCTAGGAGAGGCTGCAGGCGGAGTTTGCACATAATGTACACATGCCGAATGGGAATAATCATTTAGCCGATTCGAACAACTGATACAACTGAACAGTCAGTCCTGCAAGAAATATATTCAACACTGAATATAACCTTCATTAAGTAATTTAATTTTTTTTCTGTAGTTGAGATGAAGGAACGAATCGGAGCTGTATATCACTTTCAGAAACCAAAATGCACTGGATGAAAGTTTCATCCTAGTATGAGACTACTGTGGTGTGAGCTACTTATAAGTAGTATATGACGTGAGTGTCAACGTAATGTCTGGCAGCAGAAGATGGGGGAAGATCAAGAAAGGAAGAGTTAGAAAACAATGAAATTTGTATGAAACACATGAATAGTGACAATGGATTGATGTTTTGCAACAGGAACAGTCAGTCAGATGCAACGTAGAACTTGGTACATAAGTACATCAGTTCATGTTGCCATACCACATCAGTACAGAGATATAATTGTCAATTCAAATCCAATAGTAGAAGAGGTAGTAAGGGAATTAGAAGTATTCGGAGAGGTTAGGATTAGAAGATATTATTCAGGAAGTATGATTCAGTGAGAAAAGTTTAGAAAGTCAAAACTAGAGGTGTTGAAGAATCCAGAAAGGAGATTAGGATTTGAGAGAACACAAAGAATAAGTACACCGGCGCCATTGCGAACAATTTTGAGCCATGTCATTCAAGGTCTCTAACCATCGATTATTATCATCTCGTGGACCCCAACCAGGTAGTCGACAATTACCGACATGGCTCAGTCCACTAGTCAATGACTTCATAGATTTCTGCCATGTTTTGGTCTGGCCGCCCCTAGCTTTCTTCCAACCTACTCCTACACTACAAAACAAGGCTCGTCGAGGCAGTCGGTGGTTGAGCATACGCAACACATGTCCCAACCACCTCAACTGATGAAGTTTCACCACTTCATCTATTGATCTGCCATCCTTACCTAGTACTCGTTTCCTAACGACAGCATTGCTCACTCGGGTGTCCCACGGTATACGAGCAATGCTTCGAAGACACCTATGATCGAAAACTAGTAACTTACGAATATCTTCTACTCTCACTGGCCATGTTTCACAGCCATATAGGAGAACGGAGCGAACTGCTGCACAGTACACTCGTCCTTTAGTCAGCAGACGGATATCTCGCCTACGCCATAAGTGACGCAGGTTGGCAAAAGCCAATCGAGCCTTCTGTATCCGTGCTGAGATTTCGTCAGTCACCAGGCCATCGGCACTGATGAGACTTCCAAGATAAGTGAAGCGGTCTACACGCTCGACTACTTCACTCCCTATCACTAGTTCAGGTGCCGATGCAACCCAGTCTTGAAGCAACATTTTGCATTTCGAGGGTGAAAACCGCATCCCGAACATGCTTGCATTGTTGCTTAGGGTAGTCAGAAGACTCTGCATTTTGTCAGCATCTTCACCAAGTAGGACTATGTCATCGGCATATTCTAAGTCAATAAGCGAGCCACCTGGTAGAAGGTCTACTCCAGAAAATTCAGACGAGGATAAGGTTATTTCTAGGAGCATGTCTATGATAAAATTAAACAAGAATGGAGAGAGTGGACATCTCTGACGGACACCACTTGATGTAGAGAATTCCGGTGACAGTTCACCATAAGCTCTCACTCGACCAGTGGTGTTCGAGTAGAGAGCTTGTATAAGGTTAATGACAAGGTGGAATCAGGTTAATGACTTTACTAGGATCCTGTATGCGCGTTTCCGAGACGCAGCATACATCGATGGCACGAACAGTCCTAGCTAATGATGCCTGTTGCCCTATTTGACAGAATGTCCGTACATTGAAAGCTCCAACATGTAGTCTAGAACGGGGTTTCAAGAGACCAGGAACGACGTTTTGTGATCTCGCTTCGTCTGCATTAGCGGTGCAGTGAGAAAAGAGAGTGTGAGTAGAGTTAGTCGTAGAGATAAGAGAGACATTAGGGGGTGTAGGAAGGATTTGATTTTGACCAATTCGGTCTCGCGTGCTGTTACGGGTATGAGGGCGGTTGTCACTTCCCGGCTGCCCACACCGTGGAAGGTTGTTTCTTGAGGGATCTGAAAAGGAAGATAGATTAGTGTTGGTGCGTGACCGCAGAGCCCAAGGGACAACTGCTTGAGGCCGGTCACGCACGGCCTTTTTATGAGAGGTATTTAGAGGATTAGCTCCGTACTTAAAGGCCCTTAGTGGGCACCCTTACCCAAGGAGACGGAAATCCGTGAGGTAGGGGAGGTGTGACATTTTTAGGGCCGACCTTTTCTAACCCTTCCTTCCTTGTGAGAAGGCAGCATCGCTGCAGATGCTGGTTGTCCGAGGGAAACACCTTACTGCTGTCACACACCTCCACAGTCAGTCAGCAGTACGACTTCGCCCTCAGACCTTGGGTAGCTGCTTTTAGTCTCATCGTTCTCCAATCGACCTGTCTGGCATGGTAGGACCTGCAGGAACATATGTTCCAGCCAGTATAGCTCGGTTGGGTCATGACGATAGGCAAGCCCGACCACCACGTCAAGGTAGCAGCTACGGTCGGGCTAGGAACAGTCCAGTTCGATATGATGGACTAATATTTTGCAAATGAACGATTTACGATATGGTCGTTCCGATTTTACTGAGTAACTCTGTAATTTCGTTAGATACATTTCGGTTGCCCCACCTGTTTTCTCGTTCACTACACTACTATTTAGTGGCAGTGCACATCCACGACTCCTACAAGTGGGGATTGAACCCAGGAACTTCGATGCAAATGCCACATCTTTTGGCATTCAACAGTATAAAAGTCTAACTTCATTCAATCCATGATCTTGCACAACTTCCATTCACTGCTTTTCATCAATCTGTTATCATTTTAATCGGTAAAATCACAAGAAATCAGAGTAACATCAATCCATAGAACAGATTGAAATTATTCAAATCATGATTGAAACTTGAATTCGTTAACTTATAACATGATAAAACAATGTATTACATATCTCATGTACAATTACGTGTATAAAGGCAGGATGTCACTTCCCTAGTTGCTCACATCGTAAAAGAGTATTTCTTGACGAATCTCAACGGGATATTGTGTTAATGTTTGGTTATAATGTGTCGTGAGAGTGTGACCTCTGGAAGTGGATAAGACACCTATAGAGCAAAGAACCCAACTGCTTCACGATTCAAGCCCTCATTTCTAAGTGAGTGCTGTGCCTCCGACTCCTCATCGATATTCGGGAGAGCACGGCGCAACAATCTGGTGAGCTCCACAGCAATCACCAGCGGGTCACCATCAGCCGACAGCCTCGCCAACCGGAACTCCTGCAGCGCTTTCTCCCTGTCCACTTGGCTGTCGAATTCCGTCATCAGCCGCCCGGTGACCGTCCCCCACGTCGTCTTCCCGCCAGCACCGTCCAAGCTGTCAAACGCGGCTTTTGCCCTACCTCTCAGCAGCGTCTCCAGAACCACCAGCTTCTCCCTCGACTCCTCAAAACCCACCAGCTCCGCCACGGCCTCAAACTCCTTCAGGAAGCTCCGCACATCTCCGTCCTCAAACTCCTTCGGCCATGGAATCTTCATCCTTTGTGCAGGCAGCAAGGTCAAATGAAAAGCGGGCGGCCAAAGCACATATTACATGCAGAGAAATAGAGACAGACAAGGGAAGAATGCACAACAACCATTAGACAGAACTAGAAAGTGAAGCTCAGGGGATAGAGTGTAGGCTGAAGAATTCTGGTCGGTGGCCTATGCTCTATTTGGAGGATAACAGGCATACATAAGTCAGAAATAAATGAATGAATTAGTGCTAATAAAATGTTCTTACACATTTGAAATCATCAATCAATCATTGTTAGACCACCATTAGAAACCTGAAAGCACTGAATAAGGCCGTTTCGTTCTGGCATGGGACTCATCAGTGGCAGTGCGCATCCACGACTCCTACTCCTCGCAGGATTCGAACCCAGGACCTTCGGTATTGTGCGCGAACGCTCAACCGAAGGGCCACTAGGCCGGCGTCCAAAGGTGTTAATGTCTAACTCTGATTGATCTAAGGATTTAGCTCGACCTCACCCATTTGTCTTTGATAGTTACTGCCTACACCCGACAGGGTTGAACTCCATTGGTCACGTCTTCTCAACTAGAACTCCGAGAATTTCCTCACGAAGCTGGTCACTAGTGAGCACTGTTACGATATTTTCGGGCAGAGTTTTTTGGAGGTTTGTGTTTTTACACATTTGAAATCATCAATCAAAGGTCGCGCAAAATCCCTAGGTCAATCAGAGTTAGACATTAACACCGTTGGATGCCGGCCCAATGGTCCGACGGTTAGGCGTTTGCGCACAATACCGAAGGTCCCGGGTTTGAATCCTACGAGGTGCAGGAGTCGAGGATGTTCACTGCCTCTGATGAGTCCTATACTAGGACAAAACAGCCGTCTTTCAGTGCTTCTTCCAGGTTTCTAATAGTGGTCTAACAATGATTGATTGATGATTTCAAATGTGTAGAAAAACACAAAACCTCCAAAACTCTGCCTCAAAATAATAAAATGTTCTTTTATTAAAACAATTCTTCGTTTCTTTTCAATTATCGAACATTAATTAATGCATTTTTAGTTCAAAAGTACAATTTTAGTAAAAAGAAAAGTAAAACAAACAATAGAAGATTTCGTTTCGTTTCGTTTTCTTTATTTACCTTAAACTCATTTTTTGCAGCGCGCCAACAAAATTCTCCCTTGTTATACATTCATCTTGTTCTTTGCGTACTTCATCAATGAGAAGTTCAATGACTAAATTATTTTGTGATAAATAAGCACGACCTTTTAAGTCAAAGAAAAAAGAAAAGAATCAATCAATAATGATCACAAATTTGATTGGTTAATTGAATGTTTCCCGTTGCAAGTTAAGATTGTAACTGACCAATCATATTTGACCTCTGTGTTGTATAGATTGTCTCAGTTGAAAATTTTTTAAGCTGAATGAAATTATTTACTAGAGGTGAAGGATAATGTGGCTAACAAGATGGATACTAGGAATCTAGGCATTTTGTCCTATTTGAAACCTGTCATTAATTAGCTGAATGCACTTAAATCCTACTATTCTTGAAATTGAATCTAGAATTGTTAGCTTGTAAGGTTATTAAAGAGAGTTTGCACAATCTCGGATGAAATTCACATGATCATATAAGTTTCTTCTAAGTGGATCACTAAACATATATCATTGTTTCAAGTATCCTTGTGTCACCTGTGATCAAAAGATGAAATCATTCAATTGTCAAAGAGTAGGTTGTTTATCCGAATTATGCTTAGCCAGGTAGTATGATCAATTTATATACACAACTATCCTTAGTTCAGTAATCGTTGGACAGTAATGATGGTCTAACAACCTTCACAATACCATAATGCAATTACTTGTACTCACTAGTGACTGGCTACGTGAGGAACCAACTCTGAGTTCTAGTGGGAAGTTGCGACTGGTGAAGTTCAACCTGTTTAGGTGTAAATAGAAACTAGCGAAGACAGTGTATGAGGTTACGAAACTCCATGAATCGATTGAAGTTAGACATTAACATCGTTAGATACCGGCTCAGTGGTCCTGAGGTCAGACGTTCGAGCGCAAGACTGAAGGTCCTGGGTTCGAGTCCTGCGAAGTGCATGAGTTGCGGATGCGCACTGCTGATGAGACCCATACCAGTACGAAACGGCCATACGGTGATCCTAGGTTTCTAATGGTGTTCTAACATTGATCGATTCATGCTTTCAAATTATGTAAACGGCGCACTGATTACATCATTTGTACATCTTTCTTGAATTGTAACTTACATACAATCTTCGCTGTTAGTTCACTTTTGTTGATTATTTGACTGCGTTTTGTTTGACTGCCGTTTTAATTCAGTACATTCTTTGGTCAATAAGAATTTCGCAAACGCCATTCATTACATACTACTTATGTTTGTTCGTATTAGTAGCTCACATCACAGTTGAGAGCGATTAACTAACTTTTGAAGCTACATCTTTACTATATCTTCAGTAATATATGATTACAACAAAATCAAGATTGATCCTTAAAAAATCCTTCACTGAGTACTTTTATTTGATTAAAAAAGGTAAGCACTTTGAAAATTCTTCTAGTTTGTAGCTCAGATGGATGATTATAGTGGAGTTTTGTACTCTGAGCTACATGTTTTGGTTGAGTAGCTTTCGGCAGTACCATTACTGAAGCCATTGGCAATGGGACACATTAATCGATCATATGTTAACCAAAGGACAAAATGACAAAAGAAGAAAAACTAAATATCATCTATAAAATGAACTGCTTAAACTGTCACAAACACTACATAAGACAAAGTGAACGTCAGCTTCGTTTGTGTGAACATCAATTAGCAGTCAAACGCGACGACATTTTATCTCTTATGTCGAGTACATACGGACAACTGTGGAACAATGCTAAAATACTGGACGGGAGAAGTACAAAGAACACTAGAGAATTTTCGGAATCTTGGCACTCAAGTCAATCAGCGATCAACAAACATATCGACATTGACCCAATTTATCAACCAATCATAAAAATCATGGAAGACATAGGATCAAGAAACAGATCAAGATGGGGACACAATCAAAATAAGGGTGCAAACAACGACAGGTTTGAGGTCAATAACAACCAATCAAGATACAGGTCAACAGGACAAGCTACTACAAGTCATACGTGGAGAAATTCGAATACTTCACTTCGACTGTCTGAAGTGTGTGCTGCTGGTGATGTTGTTTAGCAAAAGAAGAACACTGATGAAAGCTTCACAACCAAAACCTTCAAAGCTCAGAGAACGAAACCCCAGCTTATTCTATTAGATTAGCATAAGCTGTAAAAGGTATACACTCATAAACACACATACACGCACACTCCTTCACACATTCAGCTTTGCATTATTCACAAAACACCAATTTACCTCTGCATAAAGAAGCAAGTGAATTAATAAAACGTGCCATATATTCTCGAACACGATGATGTTTTGATTTTAAACAATACAGCAATGGTGTATGTTTGGCATCAAGATCTTTCACTGATCCAATGGTAGTTAAATCAAGTATATCATTACGAACAAATGATGTTAAACAATGTTCACGTTGTAGCACTTTGGATTTTGTTAATCGCTGAAAGAAAAAATCATTGTAGAATGTAAAAATATCAATGAGTAGTAATCATAATAAGATCTGTTGAATATTATTATTAATATCAATAATAGTGTGGTGAATACTACTTGCAACATGGTTTATAAGTAGTAATATTCCGAGGAATGTTGCCAAGAAGTTACGAATAGAACAGAAGCGTTTCAGATCCGAGGTGGTATGTCGTCAGCAAAGCGTTCCGAAGACCAGAAGATATGTGAAAGAAAACGGTCATTAATCAGCTTGCTTTGTTAATCAAGAGAAATCTGAAGATAACATGCGGATACTTATTTTTCCTAAGGAATGTCTTTCCTTAAATACATGATTGTGTCATTTGATCTTAACGTCTTCGTTGATTACAGTAGCAGTAGTAGAAGTCGGAGTAGTAGTAGTATTAGTAGTGTGAGCAGTAGTAGTAGAATTAGTAGTCGTCGTCGGAGCCGTGGTAGTAGTAGTGTGAGTAGAAGTAGTAGTTGTCCAAGCAGTAGTAGCGTGGTGCTGTGGTGCGAGCTACTTATAAGTAGTATATGACGTGAGCGTCAACGTAATGTCTGGCAGCAGAAGATGAGGGAAGATCAAGAAAGGAAGAGTGGGAACACAATGGAATTTGTATGAAACGCATGAATAATGACAATGGATTGATGATGTTTTGCAACAGGAACAGTCCAGTTCGATATGATGAACTGATATTTTGCAAATTAACGATTACGATATGGTTTTCCGATTTTACTGAGTAACTCTGTAATTTTCGTTAAATACAATTCGGTTGCCCCACCCGTGTTCTCCTTCCCTACAGTAGTAATGTGAGTAGTAGTAGGTCGCGCAAAATCCGTAGACCAATCAAAGTTAGACATTGACACCTTTGGACGATGGCCCAGTGGTCCGATGGTTAGGCGTTCGCGCACAATACCGAAGGTCCCGGATTCGAATCATGCGAAGTGCAGGAGTCGTGGATGCTCACTGTCTCTGACGAGTCCCATACATGGACGAAACGGCCGTCCATTGTTTCCAGGTTTCTAATGGTGGTCAAACAATGATTGATTGATGATTTCAAATGTGTGAATAGTAGTAGGGTTAGTAGTAGTAGTGTGAGTAATGGTACTGGTAGTAGTAGTGTGAATAGTAGTAGTGTGAGTAGTAGTAGTAGTATTCGTCGGAGCAGTAGTAGTAGTATTCATAGTCATAATCGTAATGCAAGTAACAGTATGAATCTTACCCAACGTAATGCTTGAAGTAAATAACACTTTTTACGATCACTCATTGATTGAATATCCTCCTTAATTTTCTCATAATTCAATTCAAACAATGGATTTAAAGTAGTTTCATTCCTGAAAATGTTTAAAAGAGAAAAAACATAATTATTCTTAGCTAAAACAAAAAAGGTTGGATAGATGAGTGATATTTGAACTGATGAAGAGATCAAAATTATCCAGCATATGTTGTGATTTATACAGATACACACACGCACACCCATTGAGGAAAGTACCCAACTGCGTCACAAGACAAGCCCTCACTTGGAACCCACAAGGTCAAAGAAAAAGAGTCAGACAAAAGCACACATTTCACTGAGAGATGGAGGCAGGCAGTCAAGGAGAGTATGAACAACGACAACTGGAGAGAACTGGAAAGGAAGGCCAAGGACAGAGTCGGTTGGAAAATGCTGGTCAGCGTGGCCTACACTCCATTGGACAGACAGACACAACGCAGAAATTCGTACATAAGTACATCAGTTCAGGTTGCCATGCCCCATCAGCACAGAGACGCAACTGTCAGTTCAAATCCAGAAGTGAGAGCAATAATAGAAGTATTAGCAGTAATGGAGAAGATTAGGTTTCGAAGATATGATTTGAGAAGTATAATTCAATAAGATAAATTTAGAATGAGATAGGTAGAGATTATGAGGAACTCATAAGCTTAGAATTTGCAAGAACACAACGAGTGGATGCACCTGCGCCATTACAAACGATTTCGAGCCATGTCGTTCAAGGTCTCTAACCATTGGTGACTATCGTCTCGCGGACCCCAACCAAGTAGCCTACATCTACCAACATGACTCAGTCCACTTGTCAGTAACTTCATGAATTTCTTCCATGTTTTGGTCTGGCCGCCTCTAACTTTCTTCCAACCTACTCCTACACTGCAAAACATAGCTCGTCGAGGCAGTAAGCTCCTTTTGGGGTTAACAGGCATAAGTAAGTGAGTAATATTGTGATAAACAAAGTTATTATAGGCATAGAAATCTTTTCAATGGAAATTGTTCAGTTTGAAAAAAAATTGGCTAACCTAATCGTATCACTTTAGTTGGATTAATGTATAAAAACGAGAAAGGATTGAAGAGTCGAATAGTACAGTGAACTGAATAAATTTGAAAATATTTGACTGTTTAGCATTTAAGAAATCTGAAGGTTTTGCATTTCACTAACAGATTTGTTTACTTTCAGAGTTTAAAGTTTGTCCATTTGAGTTTATCGAGATTTGTACCAGTGTAGTGGATACTACTATGCGCAACACAAGTTTTAAGTAGTATGCAGTGGAACGACGTCAAAAAGTAACAACCGAACGGAAGATTGTTGGAATAAACGGCACAGTTGTGCATATCACCGTGTGTGGATTGAAAATATTCATGATCATTAGGTTTTAGGGAGAAACTATTCATCATTTACTCATTAGGAGTGATTGATTATTTCGTAAGGCGATTCGTGGAATTCGATCTAGTGGAAGCTGTGATCAGTTTCGTGTTTAATCATATTTGGTGTGTTTGTATGTGGGTCAATGAAACATGCTTACACGCAGTGTTGTGCGCCGATTCAAATGAGAAATCCACCGATAGCTAGAACTATCTTCAGAAAGTGTTCCAACAAATCCTTCTCTATTAATCACTTTCACGAATACACATGCAGGTTGAAAAATCGATTTGTTCAGGTTCCAATCTAGTCTTGACTTTTTTTCCAAATGCACAATAATTATAACCCTAACAATCGAATTGGAAATGTCTACTGAGATACAATAAAACACCACATAGTTTCATGTTGTAATCAAGTAGACAATTGTAAAACTGTTCTTCTAAAAATCACACTAAATGATATTATCATTTTACAATAAATATATACATAAAACAGTCTGTTTACTTGGAACCATGGTAACTGCTAATAAAACGATAATGACAACAAGACTGATTTGTAAATATTCACATTCAGAAAAAATTGATCGTTTTCATGGTCAGTAAACTGTAAAAGACTAAATGAACACCAACTACAATGTACTCAGTAAATTGTAACATTTTAGAGTACAGTGAAACAGAAATTACATTTTTATTGTTTTGTGTAGCAAATTAAGAGAATGTAGCATTTCTACAATTGACGTACACTCGGAATCGAAAACGATTAACTTGGAGAACTGCGGAAGCTATCATTGAAAAGATACAGTTATTTATGTCTCCATAAGATTACTCCAAATCCTTTAGTCAGACAACATCATTTATAACCTGCTATGGTAGAAACTAAACCAGATTCGAGCTAAGAACGACATCGATCAAAGGTACTAGAGGTGGATGAAATACACATCGACAAAACTAGCCAAATTTCTCACTTGATAAGTTCTCACATGGAATCCTCAAAGTGAGAGGAAAACAGTTAGAACAACAAACTCATTGCGACTGAGATTGTAGGGAGAAATGAAAAATAATGTATAGCGCATTGGGGACAACTGCAAAAGAGAACGGAGGATAGAGTTAGTTGAAGAATCGTGGTCAGTGGCTTATGCTCCAAGAGGAGTAACAAGCAAAACCAAGTTAGTATGAAAGTAACATTCCATGTGTTTAATTTTGTTAACTGATGAGAAGGATACTACTTCGTTATTTAGAATTGACACATTTGTGATTTACAAGGAATAATCTGTGAAGCATTATTGAAAAACTTGAAATAGTTTACAAATTTAGTATAATCTATTTTAAACAACCGGTTTCATTAGTATTACTGTAAAATAGTGAACACATAGATGTCTATCTCGTCTGATAGTTTTATGTTGGGCTTGTGAAGATTGTGAAACATTAGGAATGATGTTATACAGGAAGTGCATTGAACAACTGTCCTGACTTTTTACGAGACCCACAAGTGATGTTTAACCACGGCTCCACCAAGGATGCGACTGAAGGCTAGTGAAATTCTTATCTTCAAACTATTGAATTGGCGTTCAGTGATTTACAAAACTTTTTCATCCTTATTTGGTGTAATTTGTTTCTTACAAATTATCCCCATAAAACTACAATTTTATTTTCACTGACTACATAAATCAGTCAACTTGGAAGCATTAAATGGCTGTTTCGTTCTAGTATGTGACTAGTCAGTGGTAGTGCGGATCCTGAGTGTAGTGTGTCAAACCCCGGAACTTCGGATCTACGTGTGGGCACAACTTCTGGACCACTGAGTCAGCGTACACTATGCAGTGATAATGTTTGACTTCAATCAGCCTATGATATCACATTTAGCTTCTTTCATAGCCAGCAAAGGATCACTGTCTCCTACCTTACATCTTCTTTTCAATACTTCTAGGGTTTCTAATATTGGTTCAGCTAGAGCGTGTTGACCGCCCCAGTTATCCCGGGAATCTCATCAGTGCTGATGGCCTGCTGTGTGACGAAATCTCAGCACGGATACAGAAAGCTCGATCGGCTTTTGCCAACCTGAGTCATCTATGGTGAAGACGAGATATCCGTTTCCTGACTAGAAGACGAGTGTACTGTGTAGTAGTTCGCTCCGTCCTACTTTATGGATGTGAAACATAGCCAGTCATAGAAGAAGATATTCGTCGGTTACTGGTTTTCAATCATAGGTGTCTACGAAGCATTGCTCGAGTATCGTGGGACAGCCGAGTAAGCTATGTTGTTGTTAGGAAACAGGTGCTAGGTAAGGATGGCAGATCAGTCGATGAAGTAATGAAACTCCATCAGTTGAGGCGGTTGGGACATGTGTTACGTATGCCTAACCACCGACTGCCTCGTCGAGCTATGTTTTACGATGTAGGAATAGGTTGGAAGAAAGCTAGGGGTGGCCAGACCAAAACATGGCAGAAATCCATGAAGTCACTGACAAGTGGACTGAGTCATGTCGGTAGTTGTCGACTACTTGGTTGGGGTCCGCGAGATGATAATAATCGATGGTTAGAGACCCTGAATGACATGGCTCAAAACCGTTTGCAATGGCGCAGGTGCATTTATTCTTTGTGTTCTCTCAAATCCTAATCTTCTGAATTCCTCATCATCTCTATCTTTCTCTTCCTAAATTTATTTCACTGAATTATACTTCTTGAATAACATCGTCGAACCCTCAACTTTTACTACCTCTACTATTATGAGATTTGAATTGACAATTATATCTCTGTGCTAATATGTGATATGACAACTTGAACTGCTGTACTTACGACCAAAGTTCTACACTGATGTTGATGATTGATGATGATGATGAGCGGTTCAGAGCTAAGATCAATTCGTGATCAATTCTACTCTGAAAGAATACTACGCAAATAATTGTGCATTTAATTTCCCTGTAAAAATAACCGTATTTGCGAAAAAACAATGATTTCATTGTTTTTCAATGTGTTTTTTCTGATTCAATTTAATTACGTATTTAAAGCTGATTTATTTGAGTATTTTCTGTTAATTTTATACATCAATCAATAATGAATAAGGTTGTATTAAATGTGTAACAAAATTGAAGTTTTTGAAAGAAAAAATCATTGTTCTAGAATCTTCACATAGTGTTTTTTTTCTTCAAAACTTAAGAATCAGAGATGATATGCTACTTGTAGTAAGGTCAACTCCAAAATTGTATTATCAAAGACACTGATGAAAGATTCAAATAATTACTGATGCTTTCTAAATATAGAGAGGTTAGCTTATTTACTCCTTGTAAATCACAAATGTGTCAATTCTAAATAACGAAGTAGTATCCTTTGCATCAATTAACAAAAGTCAAACACATGGAATGTTACTTTCGTACTAACTTGGTTTTGCTTGTTACTTCTTGTGTAACATAGGCCACTGACCACTCTATCCTCCGTGCTCTTTTACAGTTGCCGCCATGCACTATTCGTTCTTTTGATGTCTCCCTCCAATTCCAGGTGCACAGTGTTCTTCGTTCTACCTCTTCTCATTGCCCTCTGAGGATTACAAGTGAGGACTTGCCAAGTGATACATCTGGCTAGTTTTCTCGATGTGCGTTTTATCCACCTCCAGCGCCTTTGCTCAATTTCATTTTCAGATGTAATATGGTTGCGTTTCTGCTACAGCCGATTGTTGCTGATGGTGTCTGACTGTAAAATTTCGAGTGCG